TGAGGGGCCCAAGGCCCCATCCCGCCCACCTCTTCTCCCCTACATTGGGCCCCTACATTGACCCTTGGCCCCATCACCCCCTGTTCACGCAAAGCAGTGTTTCAAACGGCGCCGTGGCTAAAGGGTTGAAGACCACGCCTCCAGATTCGGAGAGCGCCCGTGCTGACGTAAGGGGCAAGGGAGGAGGGAGGAGAGGAAGAGGGAGAGAGGAGGAGAGGAGTAGGACGGGTGTAAAGAGGATGAGAGGATGGCGTAGGGGACTGGGACTGGGTGGAGGGAGGAAGGGAGGAGGAGAGGGGGAGAGGGGGGAGTCAGAGAGGAAGAGGAGGAGGACGGGGGGGGAGAGGGGGGGAGGAGGAGGAGGAGGAGGAGGAGGAGGAGGAGGAGGAGGGGAGGGGGAGAGAATGAAGCGGACGAGGAGGAGGGGAAGACGAGGAGACGAGGAGGAGGAGAGGACGAGGGAGGAGGGGAGGAGGGGAAGGGGGGTGGAGGAGGTGACTAGGTGACTAGGACGACGGTAAGGAGAGCAGAGCAGGAGGAGGAAAGGTGGAGAAGGAGGAGGAGGAAGAGGGGAGGAGGGAGGAAGAGGTGGAGGATAGGAGGATAGGAGTGGCAGAAGTTGAGGAGTGGAGGAGGGGTGGCATGAGAAATGAAGACGAGAATGACGAGACTAACAGAGGTGGACAAGTCGACTACGCTTTCGAATTTTGTTTTCCTTTGCAGAACTTGGAAGAACCTTGGGCTGGCGCCCTGGGATTGTTTCGTTGTTAGTTTGTTGGCCTCCTCGTTTTCCCCTTCACCATGGGCCCGTTGGGCCTCGGTTTGGCGCCTACAGTGCCTACGTCGCCGCCGCTGGGTTCGCACCGAAACGAAGTCCTGGCATTGGCAAACCCCGTTTGATGTGTCCCCTCTGTTTTCTCACGGCACGCCAGCAGCACTCGGGCTCGTATTGCTGGCCCAGAGCAATTGGCCCTCCCTGGGCTCCCGGGCTGCGCGGCTGCGCGCGCAGGAGGCCGCCCCTCCCCGCGAGCGCGAGCGCCGCGGAGCAGCAGAGAAGAGGAGAGTGGCGGCATAGGTAGCCGTACGAAAGAAAAGTAAACCTCGGAGCGGCGACGCAGAGGCCATATCCCTTTGATTCTGTTTGTTAGCTTATCGGCCTATCGTCCGATCCTCTCCCCCCTCCTCCCACTGCCCCCCCTTCTACCCCTCCCCCATCTTCCCTCTCCTCCTCCTCCTCCTCCTCCTCCTCCTCCTCCTCCTCCTCCTCCTCCTCCCCCCCCTCCCCTCCTCCACCCCTCAACCTCCCCCCCCCATCCCCCATCGCCCTCACTCACCTCCTCTGCTCCTCTACTCCTCTGCTCCCCCATCCAGACCTTTAAGGTTCAATGGCCTCTCTGGCGCCCTCGCGCCAATGCGTCGCCGCGGATGCTATCCGCTCCGAGCCGACCATCGCCGAAACATTGGAAAACCCTGTTGAACTTGGAAACCTGGAGCCCCTTGAGGCCACCTGGGGGAATGAAACAACTCATCATCAAATCAAAGCGATCGGCGGCCTCGAGCGGCCAAAAGAATTGCTGGCCCGTCGCGTCGCCCCAAGATGCCTTCCCTGACTGTGAGGCTGCGCACTGTTCGCACAGTGCCGCCACTGCAGGGCCACGCAGGCACGCAGGATGAGCGGGGGCAACGGGCGAAGACAATGGCATGCGAAGAAGACGCTTCCTCCTCCTCCTCCTTCTCCTCCTCCTCCTCCTCCCTCCTCCCTCCTCCTCCTCCTCCTCCTCCTCCCCTCCCCTCCTCCTCCTCCTCTCCTCCTCCTCCTCCTCTCCTTGTCCTCCTCCTCCTCCTCTCCCTCCTCTCTCCTCCTCCTCCTCCTCCTCCTCCTCCTCCTCCTCCTCCTCCCTCCTCCTCCTCCCCCTCCTCCTCTCCTGTCCTCCTCTCCTTCTCCTCTCCTTCCCCTTCTCATCATCTTCCTCCTATCCCTCCTCTCCTCCTCCTCCTCCTCCTCCTCCTCCTCCTCCTCCTCCTCCTCCTCTCCTCCCCCTCCCCCTCCCCCTCCTCCTTCTCGATCCTGTCCCCCCGACCAGCGCAGCGTCCTCACTGACCATCCCTCGCCCTCGCCCTTCCATCACCTCATCTAAGAATATTAGTCCTCCTCTCCTCCTCTTCCTCCTCCCCCCAACCGCCCCCCCCCCTCTCCCTCTCATCTTCCGCTCCCTCTCCTCCGATCTCTCCTCATCCCTCCCCCCCTCCCCCCTCACCCCCTCCTCCTCCTCCTCTCTTTCTGTTCCTCCTCCTCCTCCTCCTCCTCCTCCTCCTTTGCCTACTGCTACGGCTACTTCAGCAGGTGCTTCGCAAACGCCCACTCGGCAGGGACGTTGCTCTCCTTGGCCGCCCTGGTCTTCGGCGCGCTCGGCATGCTACCCTGCACGAGCATCGCCTCGATCACGGGGCGGCGGAGCTCGAAGCAACCCCGGACATCCACCGCCACCGCCTCCGCGTCCAGGCTCAGGGAGTAGAACGCCACCTGGGCTGGCAAAGTTTATACTACGTCCCGTTTCCCTCCTCCCTCCCCCCCCCTCCCCTTTTTCCTCCTCTCCCCTCCCTCTCCTCCTCGCCTCCCTCCCCCTCCTCATCTCCCTCCTCCTCCTCCTCTCCTCGATCGCCTCCTCAGCTCCTCGCCCTCTCAGCCTCTTAGCCCCCTCCTCATCACCGTCATCATCATCATCATCAGCAGCATCATCAGCCTCTCCACCTCCTCAGCCTCCTTCTCGTCCTTTCCACCTCCTCAGCCTCCTCTCAGCCTCTCCACTCCACCTCATCATCAGCCTCTCCACGTCCTCCTCATCTCCTCATCTCCACCTCTCCTCCTCTTCACCTCCTCAGCCTCTCAGCCTGAGCCTCAGCCTCCTCCTCCATCTCCTCCTCCTCGGTTCCTCGGCTCCTCGGCCTCCTCCTCCTCTTCCTCCTCTTCTTCCTGCTCCCCATTTCCCCCTCGCACATCCCCTTCTGGCCCCATCCGGGGCCTCGGGGCCTTGGGGCCGCGGTGCCTTTGGGGGGGCGGCGGATCAGAGGGCGAGAGGTGAAGGTGAATTGGCGAGGGTTCGCCCTCTCGACCGGGACGGTGATGGTGCACTCGTCGCCATCGACCCCAGGGTACGTAAATTCGAAGTTCAGCGTGGCCTTATTGAGCAGCGTGTTGCTCTGGCCATTCGCCCTCCACGACACCGCGTCGGCATTGTACTTGTTCATCGCCTTCCTGCCATCGCTCGCGGGTCGATTGGGCTCGGGCGTGCACTCCTGGGAAGGAACGACGAGACGACGCGAGACAATAGGACGAGGATAAGAAGCAAGGAGGAGGGGGAGAGCGAACGGAGTGGAAAGGTGGGAAGGTGTGAAGGGGAGGTGGCGGGGACGGGAGGAGGCGAGCAGAAGGGGGAGAGGAGGGGGGAAGGGGAAGACGGCGCGAGCGAAGGAGGAAGGAGCGAAGGAGGCAGGAAGGAGGAAAGGATAAAGGAGGATGATGTTATGTTGAAATGTTGCGGTAGCCAACGCAAGATGATCATCCTGGGGCCATGGGGCCCCAAGGCCCCTAGGGCCCCTGGCCTTTGAAAGAAATGATGCGCCAAGGGCTCCAATGACTCCAATGACTCCCGTTCCCAACGCACTTGTATCCTTAGTGAGCCAGGCAACGCAGAACGCGTCGGACTTCTTCGGGTCGTCGTACCCCTGCGGGGACAAGTAGAACGAAGTGTTGAAGGCCTCGCATACCTTGATGTGGCCAACTTTCGGGAGCGTCGTAATCTCACCATAGAAGTTTGCGTTCATCGGGGCAGGGGGCCCCATGTCGACCTTATCGTAGAACACAGAGTAGGTGAACTCGCCATCCTTGTTGCCAGGGGTCTCCTGGATCTTGAGTTTGCCGAATCCGCGATCGGGCCCAGGCAGCCTGGCTGACTTACCATTCGCCTGCAATGTATTCTCCAGCACGAATGCCTTGAGCCTCGTCGTGAAGATGTCCAGGACTGGCCCCCCCGCAGCGATGCCAACCAAGCTCGACCACTCATTACGCAACTCCGAGACCAACGCGAGCCTGGGCTCTTTCTTATCTCCCTTATCTTCCTTGCCCTTGCCCTCCTCCTTGGCCTTGCCCTTGTTCTCCTGCTTGCCCTGGTCCGCAACCTTGCCCTTACCCTCGCCCTTGCCCTTCGCGTTGTCAGCGTTCTCAGCCTCGGGAGCGGAGAAAGGCCGAGGAGTTGAGACGAGTGGGAGTCGGCGAGTAGGGGAAGCGAGGCGGGTGGGAAGGTGAGGAACATCCGCCTCGGCCTCCTGGCCCGCCGCGGCTGCTGCGTCCGCCTCCTTCTCCTTCTCGGGTTGGGGGGCGTCCTGGGACAGCGCGACTACCATTGCAGGCGGATGCCGCTTCAGCGAAGTCAGGCCAATGTGGAAGCTTCAATGCCGCAAAGGTTGCATGGCCATTGAAACCGCCAACCAATTTCCTCGGCCGAATTCGCTGAAAACAACATCGGCGCCACCATTCGGGAAGTCGTGCTGTCCGTCAGCGCCAACTGCGGGGGGGGCGGTGCAGAGGCTGCAGCGGCTGCCGGGGGCGCGCTCGCGGCCACGCCATCGCCCTTCATCGGCGACGCTGCAGAATTCACAGCTTGAATCAGAACTTGCTTCATGCTAGAGGGCTCAGACATCAACAAGACCTCCCAGAACCTTGCGAAAGCAGTCAGCGGCACTTTCAGCTCGCACGACACAAGCGTGTCCGAGGAGGCCACCAACGCCTGGTAGCTGCGAGCGCAGTCGGTCTTGGTGATCCTGTCGTCGCCGCACATCAGCTTCTGGATGAAGCCCATGACGACGTCGCTGCGGCGCTTGAAAACCTTGTCGATGTCGGACCACTCTGAGAAGATGCCAGCCGATATCAAATCGATGGCCTTTCGATTTTCATCGTTGTTCGACGAGCCCGCAGTCTCAGCAGCGCATATCTTGGTGAGCTAGCTGCCGAAGTCTGCCCAACGCTCGTTGTACACGCTGTAGACGTGGGGCCCAATGGTCTGCAATAGCAACAACAAGTCTACGCGGCCCTTGCTGCCCTGCCCATAGCGATCTTGGAGACTTGGTAGTTCTGTGCCGATGGTAGCGCTCATGTTGATCACAGCTGGCTGCAACGCGACTGGAGCGTCGATCTTCTTGCCCCCGTGGACGGCCATGAAGTGCAAGACGAACGAAGAATCCTCCAGGAAGTCCTTCAGCTCCGCGTGAAACTCTTGCGGTGCCTCAAAGTCGTCCACCATGAGGGGTGAGTCGCCAGATCCGAGGATGGCAAGCACGTTCGACGCGACCTCATCGGCGCTGGGGGCTGTGCCGTCCGCTGTCGGCTGAATCGCCGCCTGCACTTCAGTCACGGCCGTCAGGGCGGCGATGTGGGCCTTCACGCAATCCTCCTGCAGCACTTTACGAACCTTGCTCCACGACCTCTGAGGCGTTGAAGCTCCGAGGAGGGCGGGCCCCATGAGGCCATGAGGCCCTGGAAACTGTGCTTCCCCCCTGGCTCTCGGGCCCTCTGGGGGCCGTCATGCCCTGGGGCCGCCCGAAGGCCCCTAGAGGCCGCCGTAGGGCCGTGGGACCTGGGACCGTCGGCCATTGTGACCGCGCCACCTCCTCCTTACCCCCTTCACCCCTGGGCCACGTAACTGAAGTTCGGGCGGTGGGAGATGGCGGGGGGGCAGCCCCCTCCCCGCAGACTTCAACGCCTTGCCGTTCAACGAGATTTCCCCGTTGGTAGCGAACTTCAAGCCGTCACAGAGGATGTCAGAAATCGCCTTCTTATCGTAGCTGCGCTCGTGAATCGACTGCAACGGCGCCAGCACCGCGGCGAAGAGGTCGTCGAGCCAGAGCTTGCCCCTCGAACCCGTTGCTGAGGTGACCGTCGTGACCGTGTCCACCAGCTTCTCCTCGATCTTGAACTTCGCAGCGTTTGCCTTCGCCTTGCCCTTAGCTCTGGCTTTCCCCTTTGCCTGAGGCGCGGTTGCAGCCTCGTCGGCCACAGCAGGTGCTTTTGCTTCTCCCTCATCATCTTCGTTGTCGCCATCGCCGCCCTTCTTGCGCTTGGAGCTGGTCCTCTTGTAGGTGACGCTGCCGCCCATAGGGCACTTCAGAGCTGAGAGCTGCCTCCTCGCCCTCACGGCGTGATGGATATTCAAACCTCCGCAGAACTTCTTCGCATCGTCAACTTCCACGGTGGGCGTCGCGAACTTCAGCATGATCAAGACGGCCTCCCGGAGAAGCCAAGCTGGCCCTGCGCCGTTGTCTTTGAACCACTCGGCCGTCACGAGCACCGCGTTGTGGATGTCGGCCAGCGTGCTGTTCCTCACCGTTGAGTCCAGGAAATTGCAGTGACTTTCTGCCCAAGCCTTCCACTCAGCATACACAGAGGCATCCGCGTCGAAACTGCCTGCCTTGCCGAATGCGGCCTTCGATGCTTGAAAATGGTCCCAGTTTAAGAACCATCCCTTGAACTTCTTCTGCACGTGCTGCGCATACAACTTTTCGTACCGATACGGACCGCTCTTCGGGCAGTTCTCTGTAGTGATGGCCTTGATGCGGCACTCCTCGCGCCGCGACTCCTCCACCTTCCTGCAGTTCTCCATGATTTCCAGCCATGACGTCGAGGAACCTCCCAGCGTGTTGTAGAAGTTGTGGTTGTGCCTGAGCCAGATCACAGCGTCGTCTGGCGCCTCGCACTTGATGACGATGGCGCCTGGGATACCATTCCGCATCGCTTCCTTCACGTAGTCGTTGTTGGGGTCCAGCTCCTCCGCGACGAAGACTGCCTCGGCCAGCGTCGCGCCTGCGATCATGTGATAGACGCCGTTGGAGTCCTCTGGCAGGCTCGCAACGTCGCTCGCAGCCGACGGGAGGGGCGGAAGGAGGAGGGGAGGAGGCGAGGAGGCGGCGGCGGGGTGGCGGGGTGGTTGGGCGGTGGGATGGTGCAAATTGTAGTTGGAGGCAGCGGGCGGACGGGTCGGCAAGTGACGTTTCAAGAGCCCCAGAGCCCAAGAGTAGTCCAAGAGTCCAAGAGGCCAAGAAGGAGGGTAGTGCCAGTGAGAGACTGAGAAGCGAGAGAGCTCGACGCCTCGACGCGCGCCCCCTGGGCCCCCAAGCCCCCAAGGCCGACGCCTCGCCGCCCATGGCGGCATGGCGGCCTGCAGCGCCATGCATGGGGCTACGCCCAGGCACCCAGCGGCGCCCAGGCAGCGCCGTGCATGGGGCTGGCAGGGAATCGAGATAAGGCGATCGCTACCTTCCCCTCCTCCTCCTCCTCCTCCTCCTCCTCCTCATCCTCCTCCTCCTCCTCCTCCTCCTCCTCCTCCTCATCCTCATCCTCTCCCTCCTCCTCCTCCTCCTCCTCCTCCTCCTCCTCCTAGCGCGAATCTATCCTCATCCATCCTGCCATCCTCGAGAGCTGCGGCCGTCTGGGTCGGCGGCGCTGGCCGCGAGGCCGAGGCCTCAGCCATCGAGATGGGGCGATAGAGCAATGGAGCCGAAGGGGCGGCAGCGAGGTTCAGCCCAGATGTCCTCGACGGCCATCGCGCATGAACGTCCGATCCAGTTCGCCCCGAACTCCAGCACCCCCTTCGCGTACGAGCGAACCGTCTGGGCCTCCCGACGGTCGTTGAACTTCGAACGCACCACGCTCTTGATGCCGTCCTATTCGGATCGCGCGCAACGAACCGAAACGCGGGCCATATGGCTTCCTCCTAGCCCCCCAGGCTTAGGGCCCTGGGGTCCTGGGGCCCCCGCCCGGGGAGAGCTTCCCGAGCTGCGCCCAGCCGCGGCGACGGCCAATGGCCTAGACAGGTCAGAAAAGAACGGCCGCGCCGAAAGCCCGAACGCCAATGATAGTCTGCATCGTTGACATCGCTGGCGTCGCTGGCGCGCGGCCCACGGGGTCTGGTCTGGGGGTCTGGGGAGAAAAGGAAGTTTCGACAGCGGTCTCCAAGGATCCGATCAATTGGCCTCAGGGCCTCAGGGGGGCACGAGGTCGCAGTCACAGGGCCCGCGGAGAAGGGGGGGCGGCGGCAAGGACGGGAAGAGGGCGAAGAGAGGAAGAGGAAGAGGGGAGAAGGAGGAGAGATGAGAAGAGGAGAAGAGGAAGGGAGGGGAGGAGGAGGAGTAGGATGAGTAGGAGGTCGAGGAGGAGGAGGAAGAGGCGGATGACGAGGAGGAGGAGAGAGGATGAGAGGAGGACTGGAGGGGCGGAGGGGAGGCGGCGGGGAGGGGTAAAGAGTAAAGAGGGAGGACGCGGAGGAGGCGGAGGAGAGAATGGAGAAGGCGGAGAGGGCGACAGCGGAGACAGAGGAGGAGGAGGAGGAGGAGGAGGAGGAGGAGGAGGAGGAGGAGGAGGATGGGTGATTCGTTTGCTAGCAGCCTTCTTGTAGTACTGCAGCGTGGCTCTCTCGGGCTTCGCATACTTCTCCAGGCGCAGCGACCACCTCCGCGACCCCTGGTGGACGGGCATGCGATCCTGCGGCAGAGGGCGGGCGCGAGCAGCTCCTACCTCCCATCATCTTCATTCTCCTCTTCCTCTCTCCCTCTCTTCTCTCTTCTCTCTGTTATTGCTCCTACTCTTCCTGCTACTCTTCCTGCTTCACTTCTTCCTCCTGCTCTTCCTGCCCCCCCCCCCCCCGCTCTCGCCTCCTCAGAGGGCCCCAAGACGGCGCCAAGAGGGCCGCTGGAGGTGCATAGCACGCCCCCTTCGTCATATACCCCTCTTCGGGGCCCAAATGGGCCCTAAGAGGGCCTGAGGGGCCCTCCCCCTTGGAGCTCTTGGAGCTCCATGGGAGCCCCCAAGAATCCAAGAGGGCCCCGAGCGAGCCCCAAGACGGCCTTCAAGACGGTTCCAAGAGGGCAACGGCTGAGTATATAACACACCCCCTTCGTTATGTACCTGTCTTGGGCCCCCAAGGATCCCCAAGATGGCCCCTTGGGGCCGCCCCCAAGAGGGCCCCAAGCGGGCCCCAAGACCCCAAGACGGCCCCAAGATGGCCGCGGGTGCATATGTAACGCACCCCCTTTGTTATATACCCCCTCGGGGGCCCAATGAGACCTCGAGAGGGCCCGAAGGCCCTGAGGGCCCTCCTGCGCCCTCTTGGAGCTCCTTGGGAGCCTCCATGATCGTCCCTATGCTCGATCCTCCCTTCTCAGACCTCCCCCCTGCCCTCCCTTCCTCCCCCCCCCTCCCCCTGCCGCGCGCGTCCTCAATCGTCATGTTACCCTGCAGGGGCCTGAAGAACTTGCTGTACTCCTCCTCCCCGTATTTCTCGATGAGCGCGGCTGTGGCCGCCGCGCTCGCCGCGCCCTCCGAGGCCGCCGAGTGGGCCGAGTGGCCCGCCGCGGCGGCGGCTGCCATCGCCTCCGGGGCGGGGCGAGGACAGGCTGCGCGAGGCCGCGCGACAGGGGGGTAGAGAAGCAGAGAAGGATGGACGGAGGAGGAGGAGGAGGATATCGGGAAGAGGATGTAGGGTCATAGGGAAGAGGAGAAATAGAAGGGGAGGGGGGCCAGGACGGTGGAGGAGTGGAGGAGTAGAGGAGTGGAGGAGGCACGCAAGGGAAGGGATCAGAAGAAGGAATCCCAAGACGACAGAAAGAGCCGAAAGAGGAGCGAGGAGGAGAGGGAGGAAGGGTGGAGAGGAAGTGAGAGGAGGGGCTGCTAGGGCGCTAGGGATGGCAAAAAAGACAGGAGGGGCGGCTATGGAAGCAAAATCCGACACGGTTCTCGCCTCTCTCGCCTCGGCGCTGCGCACATTCTTACGTTTGCGCGGATCAAGAGGGCATGTTTGTTGTTGGCCGTGTTCAAAACATGATTCTCAAGCTCAGCAACACAGACGATGATCATCGCTCTCACTCTCCTTGTCGAGAGTCAAGAGATTCTGCGATCGCCGATGCTTTCGAATGCCCAGATGTGCTCACATGTTTCGGGTTCTTCTGGTTGAAACGGATCGCTGGCTGGCGGCAACGATCGCGGCAGCAAGCAGGCACGATAAGCTTGACAGCTTGACGCCACAACGCCAGCACGGTGGTTCAGCCCCCTGGTAGTGGTAGAACATGGATGGGTAAATGGCCGCCTTCGAACCTCCGAGGACCCGAACCCGATCCTGACACTCTGACACTCGATGTACCAGGACGCGCATACAAACATTAAACGACGGTTCGCGACACTGCGCGGCCACCATCCAACAGGCAGGGGCCGAGCGCCCAGGGGAGGGTGAGAGAAATAATAAGGGGGACAGCAAGCGCGAAGGCCGAGACACCAAGGGTGGATGGTGGAGGGGGGAGAAGGGGAGAAGGCGCGCCAGCGAACAGCTACTCTCGATCTCTCGAGCTCTCGAGGCATGATTTCGGCGATTTCGGCCGTCGGGGTCAATCCTCGCCGCCGCGGCTGGACGCGGCTCTCAACGCCGCAACTCTGGCGCGCGTGGCCCCGGGAGAGGTTTGGGCCCGAAGGCTTTGGCCCATGGCCGCGTCGAAGTCGTTGGTTCGCCGGCGCATGCCCCCGAGCCCCCGAGGACTCAGGAGGAGGCGAGGAGGAGGAGGAGGAGGAGGAGGAGGAGGGAGAGGAGGAGGAGGAGGAGGAAGAGGAGGAGGAGGAGGAGGGGAGGGGAGGAAGAGGAGGAGGAGGAGGAGACGGACCAACCAAGCAAGTTAGTGACCTTTACTTATTTGCCTTGGGACCTTGGGAACTGGGGGCGCTCATGCTAAGATCCAAAAGGCCTTGAACTTTGTAGACTTGGAGACCGCTAAACCTTCAGACCCCTCAAAGCCTCAAAGGTCAAGGGCCCCAGGGCCCAGGGCATCAAGTCCTCAGGCTGCTCAATTGACGAGTATTGCATTCATTGCCGCGCGGATCCCCCTGCCCCCCTATCCCCTTGTCCCCCGATCCCCTACCCCCTACCCTCCTTCTCGCTCAGATGTCCGTCCGTCCTCGCCCTCCCCGCGCACCTCTCCTATCCCCCCTTCCCCCCTTCCTCAGTTCGATGTCGGTGACGCAACGATGAACCGATGGCAGTGCCAGGCCCGCGTTCGGCGGCCAAGGCCAAACTGCACGGTCCAACGTGCAATCGCTCCCTTTGCTTTGTTTCCCAACATCCCAGCGACGCGGCATACCGCTGCTTACCAACGTCTGACCACAGCTGAAAAGCCTTGGGCAACCTACACTGCCAAGCACGGGCCTGCACGAACGAGCTGAGCAAGAGAGAAAGATATGTAGGGTGAGATGGTGAGATAGGGCGAGCGAGAGAGAAAGTGAAAAGGAATAGACCTGCAAGCGCGACGCGCCCCGAGAAAACGCGTTTTCGGCGCGCCTATGCCTGGCCTCCAGGGCGCATCAATTCACTGAGGACCGCAGCAGCTCTCTCCACATCAGATGGCGTGCCCTTGCGCAGCCTCCTCCTCTTGGGCGCGCCCTGCTGGCGAGCGGCCGCGAGCGCTTGGGCGATGCCGCTGCTGGAGCTGGCTGAGTGGCTGGAGCTGTCGGTCATGTCCACGCTCGCTGAACCTGCGCCAGGTTCGCGCAAGGCGGCCATCACTGCCCATATGAAGTAGAAGCCGAGGGACTCCGTGCACAACGCCATGCCGTTCCCGATCTGGTGGAGCGTTGCGACCCGACGGCGAGGGGGGAAGCCGAAGTCCTCCCTCTTGAAACTGAAAGACGTTTGCAGCCCCCACTGGCACAGCGAGTCGTCAACGTAGTTGTGCCCTGTGCGCAGTTCGCTGGGCGTGAGCCACCTGCGGTGCTTGCTGCTGTAATACATGTCGTTTTTCCTGATGATTGTCATCATGGTAGGCTTGCCCTTGCTGTGCGTAGCGTGCTTGTCTGCAC